GATCAGTTTTCTTCAGGAAGGGGAGAAAATACCTGAAAAATCTATATGATACGAGCAATAAAATAATTGTCTTTGGTGCAATATTTGCCTCAGTCTTTGGTATCAGACAGTGTACCACAATTCAGGAGCCATTTGCGTCCTTGGGCAATACTATATTGCTGTTTCCTTCAGTTAGTCAATAGGCGTATACTATTACTGTACTATAGTTCCATTAGCTATGTTATTTATGCAGACTTAATGGCACTGTAATCTGTGGTTGATATGTGGTTAAATACAAGAAGATGGTCAGTCACCTAAGATTCTGTCTGTCTGTCTATCTAAAGATTAAAGACCTCCTGCTTTGCTGTCATGGCAATAGAAGTGTATGTCACATGGATAATGTAGTTAATCTGATTACTGTCATAGCATGATTGCCTCAAGACCTGACTTTATTAGCTCTGCAAGAGAATTAGGAACATGGCCTAAAATAACATGCTGGCTGTTTGTTTGTTTTTCTCTAGCATGTGCCAGGATTGAGTGTAAAATATAATGAACAAACTGGTGAATAAGGCCTTTAAGGAATAAAACTATATTTTAAATGAAAGAAAACAGAAAATGTTAATCTCTTTCCAGAAAACGCCTTCAACTTTGATCCTAACTGCTTAAAGAAAACTGCAGCAGCTAAACAGAGAATCACAAGTCCCTTATTCTCTTTCCACTCCCATGCCATTTATAAGAATCAAGTGAGCAGTTGTTACTCAAGCACTAGTTTTACTTTAGCACTGTCCTTGTTTGTGTAGCAATGCAAAACAAAATCCGTAACCTGAATCACTTTACTGTATATACTTACAATACTGTAATGTTAAATATTACTTCCTGTTCCAAATCACAACACATTTCCTCACTGTGAGCCACATTTTGCCCTTGTTCCAAAAAGAGCTATTTTTCTATTTAAAGTAAGTCACAATCCCACTTAGCTTGTTTTAAAAAATAAATGCAGACTGAGTATTGCTCACATTACTAAATTCAGAATAGCTGTCATGTAGTAAATTCAGCATAGTCATGTTTGAAATGAAATACTACAGCACTCCTAAAACAAAGAAAATATTGAAGTCCGTGGCACTGCTCAAATGGGAAAGAGCAGTAGGATTAGTCTGGGTTCTGGAAAGGAATTTTAGGGATGTCCAATTCCTAGGCAAAAAAATTCCTGGGCAAATCAACCAACTCTTATCGCTGTATTATTTAGAAAGAGCTCATTAGCCTTCTGCAATTCTGTAGCTACACAATTTTCTGCAATACTGATTTTTCTTAAAATAAAAGATCCCCTCAAACTTAACTGAAGTTAATTCTTAAACAAATATGAAATAGTTTTGGAAAACACATCTTTTCCTGAGTACTTCTGCCAATTTTTGCGGTTTTACCACCACATCTTTGTTTTTTATTAATTTATTTTACCGTATTATATAAACGATCAACACAAAATTGAATGTATGGTAAATGTGCATACAGTAAGTACTGTTATGCACTCCCCTCAAACAAACAAACAAACATATTTTCCTTTAACCTCATTCAGTTACTGTACTTTCATATGTTAATTGTAACAAAAGCAAGTACAAATTTTCAGACAGAAAACTTTCACAAATATGATTAACTTGACAGTGTCCCTGTAGCGTGCATCTGGAAAATACACTGTTTGTTTTCCATTCTCCTTTTGTATATGGACAAGTTTAGAAACTATTTTTGTATGGAAATTTGTGCCATTTATCCAACATCTCAAGAGAATTATTTTAATCGTTAAATGTATTGTTCAAGCGGCTGCAGCAGAAATCATTGTGTGAATCAGTAGCTTGAGTTAAGTAGCCTTCTAGCTTATGGTTAAATAGCTCTAATAGTAAGATCTCCTATTGTGACGAGCAGTTTCAGTGCCTGCATCACAGCTAGATATTCCCATTATGGACTATGAACAAAAGAGTTCTAAAGAATCAAAATGTGTTGAAGAACTAAGACTTAGGATTGGAGTCATTTAAGACTTACTAACGGAAATAATATTTAAAAAATTAATTTAATGTATTTAGTAAAGGCACAAGAATAAAGTGATCAGATTGTCATTAGCATTTGACACACACATTTTATTTTGTCTCTGGCAATTAAGTATCAAAACACTAGGTTAAAAGAAAATTTTGTAGGTTGTGAAGTCAAGCATTTGAAAGGTAGAAATGCCAGATTTATGGTTGCCCCTGCAGCCTTAATTCTAACCCCTTGTTCTTCCATTCTGTGCACCGAGTAAGGCAAAGGTCCTGTGGAAAAAACAGTATGTGATCGTGTAGTTAAAACTGGATCGTTATGGGATCACCACAGCTGTATGCAGTGGGTCCTTGTCTGGCTGGCAGGAAGAAAAGGGGTTGTTGCCTATTTTTGGGCTTCCTCTGCAACTGGTACCAGAGAAGGAGGAAAAGGGAAAATTTATCTGATGAAGCAGGAAGTGACTGGACCAGGTGTGTGGAGTAACTACACTTCCAGCTGACTGGAAGAGTAGGGTGGGTATTTATACCCTGGACAGTCTGGAGAAGCCTTCTTTCACCGGGATTGGTCTGGCAGCATCCATCCTGCCACCCATGGAATCTGAATAAGGACCGGGTTTCTTCTTGATCCATTGTGGCCATTATTCTAGTTGCCCTTTTCTTTGGGGGCTGGAAAGGAATTTTTCCCTCACTGCAAGATTGGCCAAGATAGGGTGTTTTTTTCCCACCTTCCCACAGCAGGTTTGGGACCCGGTAGTGTGGGATATGGGGTTAGGTTACAATATTGCAACTTACTATGTAATATTTGGGGCAAATATCCAGTGCAGGTACTCGTTATGGAAAGGCTATGGTTATTGGAGCAAATGGATTGGAAGGGGATTTAGAGGAAGGCAGTCCTTAAGGGAGCCGAGGAAAAGGGTTTGGGGCTCTGACATCTGGTCCAATGAGGAGCCAACTCCCCTCCTTTACTAGCCCCCTTAACCCTCATGTGAGGGGAGGGCAGTGGGGGCCCAGCAATGGGATGCCTGGGATCAGGTTGGGAAGGGACAGTGCTGACAGCAGCCCTCAAAATTAGGTGGAAATTATTAAGGAAATGATGACCAGCTGCACTGTACAACTTCTTGTCGGATACTCCGGATATTTTAAGTGAATAAAGTTGCAGCCTAATTAAACCATGTCCATTTTCTCCTGTCTTTCCTCTGCCATCGCCGGACAATGCATACTCAGAAGGGGCATAGTTAAGACTGTATGAGCAGCCATAAGTCTGGTATTTTCAAATTTTCAAGTGCTTGACTTAGCAACTAAATCACATTCTTTTAACAGTTGTTTGGATGTAATTTCCAAGGGTGTTGTTTTTGTGAGAGGAAAAAAGTAAAAATAAAATTATATTATGTACAATTCAGCCAACGTACCATCATCTGGTGTGAACCCTGACCATCAGCACTGCAGTGCAGACTTTGGCCACTTGCGTTACAGGACTGATTGTAGTAGGTGGCAGCAGGAGGAGGGGTAAGGTGGTTGGCTGGCTCCATATTCTGGGTCCAGGGGTGATGGGGGAGAGTCTGACCCAGCCCAACAATCATTCCTTCCTCCCACCACAGTGGTACCTCCAGAGTGGAGAATGGGATGGCCAGAGGAGATAACATGGGGAGTCCAATCTGGCTGTCTCTTTTCCCCTATGGGGAGGTTGGGGGACTCTTGCCCCCAGGTCATGCCCTGGGGATGGGAAATGTGATGCCTTGGCCCTGTGCTGGATCAGTGGAGCCCAGCCTGGCTTGACTCAGCTCTCTCCCCCTTCCCTCCGTCCTGCCACTACAGCTGCGCTGGCAGCTCCCAGGCATTCCTAGTACAGCATGTGGTGGTGGTGATGCTGCTGCTTTAAACGATGGGTAGCATGGACCTAAATCTTTAGAATGTTTGTGTGTTCAATTATAATTTTGGCAGGCTGCCAGAATTTTCCTGAGGAATGCAAGTGAGAAGGGAGAGGGTGATTTTTTAAAATAGTTTATAACTCAACTGAACCTGAATGGAATTTCATGAGACAAATAAAAGGCATTTCTTTAGCCTGCGGGCTTTCCCCTTGCTGAATTCCAGAGACCCATTGCAAACAGTGAAAATGTTAGCGCTTCTGAAAAAAGGGCACAAGCAACTCTTAAAATGGAAAGTGCTGGGCTACCTAAATATAGCTGTCAGCTACCCATATAATGAAGGAATTTGCGGCTAAAACAACAAAGTCAAGGGTCAGCGTAGAAAACATTTCAGATACAGGTAACTAAATTTTTTCTTCCTTGTAATGCAATGCACTTCTTGGCATCCTTGAAGATTCTAAAGGCTCTTTGTTAAGGTGCTTTCACTTACATGAAGGTACACTGTGCCTGATTCTTATTGTCCTGGAAACACAGAAAAAAAGAGAAGATGTGGCTTAAGTAGGTTGCAACTGTATTAACTCATCTGGGAAGTAACTGGCAGTAATCCGTGCAATATTTCCTTCCGTAATCACTTCCACCTGGTAGAGGGTTGCCATCAGCCCTCCACAGCTGGTCGTTGCTGGCACCCCACTGCTCTCCCTTTATATGAGAATTAAGGGGCTGGGGAAAGAGGTTGTCTCCTTGCTGGAGCAGACATTAGGAGCCCCATCTCTGTTCCCTAGCTTCCTTAGGGGATGCTTCCCCATTAGCAGGGCCGGCTCCAGGCACCAGCTTACCAAGCAGGTGCTTGGGGTGGCCACTTCGGAGAGGGGTGGCACGTCCAGCTGTTCGGCGGCAATTCGGCGGACGGTCCCTCATTCCTGCTCAGAGCGAAGGACCTTCCGCCGAATTGCCACCGCAGATCGCGATCGCGGTTTTTGTTGTTTTGTTTTGTTTTTGTTTGGCTGCTTGGGGCGGCCAAAACCCCGGAGCCGGTCCTGCCCATTAGGTCCACTTCCAGTTCTGGTTTATCAGGGACCCAGACCACCTATGGAATGAGTACCTGCACTGGACTCCTGCCACACATAGGCACCAGCAATTAGCGTGACTGCCTCCTCTCCGCCAACCCGGTTCCCAGATGAATGGTAATTTCCTCTCTCATGTTGGCCAGAAATACTTCCTCTCCTCATCTGGCAGGTCTATCCCATTGTCACTGAATAACAGACGTAACCAATATATTTTCGTGGGTAATTACCAATCCTCCCCATTCCCCCCTTAAAGGATCTACTACCCTTTTTTTCCCATGAGTCCAGACAAAGCACTGCCACCTTGAGATTGCAGGGGTTGCATTTGCACTAAAGCCATTTTACACTGCTCTGTCATTAAAGGGACCTTAAAATGGGTGTAAATGTAACTTATGCCCACTCTAAAAACCCTCAACAATGCCAGAGCAGTGTAAAGTGGCTTTAGTGTAAATGAGAACCAGGGCCATTGTCTTCACTGGGGATACTTCTGATTTACTCCATCATGAAATCAGACAGTGCTACATTTTGATAAATGCGCAGTGAGGATGTTTTAAGTCTTTTGAAATTTTAAAAAACAATTATACAAAAATATGGATAAATTAAACAGTGGGCAAGGAAAAACAAGCAATTAACGCCTTACAAACACATAGCCTTCTCACCCCCACAACACCTTCTTAGTAAATTTCCTGTACCTTGAGGCAGCTTGCTTAGTGGTGTTGAATCCTAAAAACATTGTTGCAGAATTTGGTACTCAGGCTTGTCTGCATGGGAAAGTTTTACCTATTCTACTGATATAACCTCCTCTGTGGATGCTCTTCTTCTTGTTTAAAAGTGCCTTCTTATTTATTTAAACCACTTCCTAGCACATGTAAGCTAAATGGGAAAAGGATACTCCGACACTAGGATAAGATTCATAGACTCATAGATTCTAGGACTGGAAGGGACCTCGAGAGGTCATCGAGTCCAGTCCCCTGCCCTCATGTCAGGACCAAATACTGTCTAGACCATCCCGGATAGACATTTATCTAACCTACTCTTAAATATCTCTAGAGATGGAGATTCCACAACCTCCCTAGGCAATTTATTCCAGTGTTTAACCACCCTGACGGTTAGGAACTTTTTCCTAATGTCCAACCTAAACCTCCCTTGCAGCAGTTTAAGCCCATTGCTTCTTGTTCTATCCTTAGAGGCTAAGTGAACAAGTTTTCTCCCTCCTCCTTATGACACCCTTTTAAATACCTGAAGTGTCCCTATGGGAGTTTATACTGGTATAACTATCGGTTTAAATTCACAGCTTAGGTTATACCAAAAGGCCCTTCTCCACGTTGTCAAGATCTCAGATACCAGACTTCTAAGTGGAGCAGTGTCCCGCAAAATATGGTTTCCATAATTGCCAACATGTCAAAAATAACCTGAGGTTTTGAGGCCCATCACCTGATTTGTATGCTTAATTATGGTGATTACACACGCTATTGTAGATAACTGCACACATTCATGGGTGTATCTTGAAAAAATACAAAGTAATCTAAAATTGTAAATATGAAGTTTCCTATCCAGAAACAGTGCTGCCACAATGATTTAATTAGCTTCTCCTGGAAAAAAAGCATTCTTGCAAGATTTCTGTTCTACAATCTTGTACTCTAGATCTAGAGAGTTTGATGAAATCAAGATGGCAGTGCATTGAATGTTCTAGGACCTTTGTTGAATGACTCATATTCGTATAAAGGGTCCAGCCCTGAAGTCCATATTCAGCAGAACTCTAAAACTAAAACTGCAGGATATATGACCTTGAATTTTCTGGGACAATCTGTCACTTCCTGCATTTAAATCCACTGTGTAACAATGAGTACTACGGCCAATATCTAACTGCCCAAGGCCTCTGTCTCACTCTATACTGCATGTAACTTGCTCAGCTATATTTTTATAATGCATAGGTATCCTCCAATGATTTTTTTAAGTCTCCCCTGATATGTGTACAATAAACATGTTGCTGTTTCAACAGGTACTGCCATGGCTGCAGGGGTCTTGCTGCAAAATGAATTGCCTTATTGTTCATTGGTAAAGAGCAGTGCATATCTTGCAACTATGAGTTCAGGTAATCATTTTCTTTAATATGCCCCTTAAAAGAAAGTTTTTAGATGAGTTTTTTGAAAAGGAATCATCTCTAAAAAATAAAAGCCATATACATCTGTTATGGCTAGGTTGTGGGGATAATGTGTGTGTATATGCAGTACAAATAATTCAGTGTGTTACTCAAACATGACTATGACCAGTAACCACCTTGACATGTTTCCCTTCCATTTCGCTTTCTGTTTCTGTTAGGTTATAAATTCTTATGGACAAGGACTGTGCCATCTTTTGTGTTCGGGAAGTGCTTAGACATTGTGGAGTGCCACAAAATAATAATAAATAGTAACAATTTTTACAGGCAATAATTATGATTCACCACTTTGGTTGAATACCTCCAAATGGCACTGACGTCAATGAGAGAATAATGACATTCAGCATTTTGCCTCCTTCAGTCTCACCAACTGCTGGCTGCACTATAACTTTCTTGAATTTGACATATATAGAAGAAAAATGTTACTGACTTATGAAGATCCATACAGAATTACATCTAAGGAGCCAAAATAACTGATGAGCAGAAGTTTGGTATAGTCAATGGATGTAGCCAGCATTTGAACCATCTCTAAAAAAAATCCCCTTAATCGCAAATGATACTTAAACCTCAGCACCCAAGAATTATCCAAACTCCTAAAATTCCAAACATTAAGACAATTGTAAGGCCTTGGAAACAGATTCAGAAGTAAAACTAAAAAAGGCTATAATCACCCCATAACAGATACCCCAAAAACTTGCCTTAGCAGTCCTTCGGGTCTAGACATCCACTTAATTCAAAGTGCTAGTTTTTCTTTTTGAAATTGATAGTGACATGTCAGGTTTAAAAAAAGGGTTCGTAGATAGCAGTAGCTCAGTGGGATGAGGGGAGTGCTATTTTATAATCCTCAATTGGCATGTGATTGGTTGAGGAAGGCATGGCTTGGTAGCAGACAGTCATGGGTAACAGCCATGGAGCAGGCTTTAATACTTCTTCTCCCTCCTGACATCAGCATTAGGGTTGGAACAGGGTAGCAAAGGCTCTTGGGCAACAGCAGCACTCAAGGGAGTAGATTTTAGATGTTCCTCTTCCCTCCTGCCATCACTGGCAAGTGGTAGGGCTGGGAGCAGCACGAAACCTCTCTGTGTGCCCTTACTAGCCAAGTGGCACATCTGTTCAAAATCTAGTAACATCCTTCCTGTCTGCACCTAGAAGAAAGAGATTATTGCCTGAGGTTTTTAAACTGGAAAAAAACACTTTTTACTTACCCGGTTTTGTCATGCAAGTTCCACTTCAAGAGGTATCGACTTCCCTTGGTGTATATACGCAAGTCCCAATGACATCAGATGGTAATCGCATGCCCAGATTGAGAGTAGAATATGGCCCTAAGAGAGGGCAACAAGAGTAACATGCTTATTGGGTCAGGTTATACTGATTTTTCTTCTATCTTTTCTTTTCTCTACCCTGCTCGTTAAGATCTATAAATTGCACTCTAACAGAGAACTGACAAGATGACTATTATCTTAAATGGTTTTTACAGTCCTTACCCCTGCAAGTGACGGTTTGGCCCTGTGATTCTGAGAGTGCTGAAATCTTTCTGGCCAGCTCAATCTCCCTCTTTAGCATGGAAGCAAAGAGGGAGGCAGCTCATAGCCTGATACCTAGCGCTTGAAACTTGGAGCAATCAAATTATATGGCTACTTCTCCCAATAGTCTGCTTTACCTCAACCCAGTAGATCCAAGAGCTTTGGTTAATAAAAAGCTCTGCTCTGAAAAAATAAACCTTTTGTTTTCAATAACAAATTGTGTTTTGTTAGTGGATATGAATGGTCCATGAATGAGCAGTCTGCAATTCATCACTGAACAATTTCAATAGCAACACACTAATCCCAATCATTACAGAACTAACAATGCATTTTGGAGCAGCTAAGTGGAGGGCAAAAGATGGCAATGGACTGTCAAACTAATCAGTGGGGGAGTAGAGCGTATTTACTTACAGATTTATAGAAAAGCAGTGCCCCAAACTACATTTTGATTGTATTTCGGTATATAATATACTGTGTAGTATGTTCTGAATGTACAATAAGTGCAATTTACTAAAATACTCATTTTGTTTTGGAAAATCGTCCCAATCCAGTTGCAGAATTACCTACTTGAAATGCAACTATTCTCATCAGCAGTGGAACAGTTTGTCCCAAGCAGAATCAATTCACATAGAATTTAGCTGCCACAAGGGTAGCTGGCATCAGTGGCTTCATTGTTTGTTACTATGGAGACTGCTCAGCCTATCCTGAATAGCTGTTAGATCATACAGAAAGATACACATCTCTGTGTAACTTCAGCATTGAGCAAGTTGGATTTCAGATCCAGTTTGTTTTCTACGGCATTTGTAAAGTGTTGCAAGGGGGTGATCGATCATGGAGGCTTCACCCAGGAGGCGCTCAGCTGTGAATATTTTTAGCAACTTTTTTCAGGGTCGGAGGCATTCTTCCTCTGATCCCTTTCTCCGCATACTTCAAAGGCGCCGGAGCTCAGTTGTAGAGGTCCTCTCATCATCCACACACCGTGTTATGGTGGCCATATCATCTGTAAGCCCTGCAGAGCTGAATGCAACTTTTCCTGAGAAAAAAAGTGAAGTATTTTTAGATTATTGCCAAAAATCATACTTGGGTTTTATAGTTATGTATTATATAACGTGTACTAAAGGTGTATAATCTTATTCAGATGTTTAGATGTATATAAATATGTATGAAATATTTCAAAATCATTTTATAGTGGTTATTGTTTTATTATATATAATTGTATTTACTGATATCTTACTCAGGGCTTAATCTGTGCTTTATTTTTAACTTGTAGAGCATTTCAGTTTAAAACCTTGGTTTCAGAAAATAATTAAAGCAAAAGATAGCTTAATATGTGTTTGTGCAGGCATGCTGTACATTTCTAGATAAAAGGTGACCGTGATATTTGCTTCATCATGGAGGATATCACATACCTATAATTTCATGAAGAAGGAAACTAAGTTGATGTCATGAATAACAGCACTAATGTAAGCTTCAGCGCTAATATAAGCTAAGAATGGTATTTTTATTGTGAATCCTTGCTGCTTAAATCTCTTGAAAAATCTTTAATATACTATATTTTTGTAATTTAAACATTTAAAAGTTTGCTGTATTATATTTTAGGGTAGTGATGATAGTTTGCTAACCTTATGTATTCTGTTTTTCTTTCTGTTGTAGGAAATTCAAGGCGTCCAACCGCAAAATATACTAAAGTAGGGGAACGCCTTCGCCATGTCATTCCTGGTCATATGCAGTGTTCGATGGCATGTGGTGGACGTGCTTGCAAGTATGAAAACCCAGCTCGATGGAGTGACCAAGAGCAAGCCATTAAAGGACTTTACTCTTCCTGGTAATATGCAGTACTCAGTTTCACTAAGCTTAATTGTATTAGCTCCATTAGAGAATTTAGGGTAATAGATTTATATTGCATTTTTCTACCAAATATAGACTGCCAAGTTAAGTACAGTATGTACTGGAATAAAAGGTTAGTTAAAAATTAATACTTAGCAGTAAGCCATAAAGGGCTCCATACAAAGCCCATCAAAGTCAATGAAAGACACACATTGTCTTCAATGGGCTTTGGCTCAGATCCAAAATAATAAATAACTGTTTACAGATTACATGAATGTTCTAAACTACAGAAGTTTTCCCTTGAAATTTAAATACAGCTGTTAAAATATGCTCATTGGTTTAGATTAAAATGAATGAAAACATTTGATTGAAGATAAAATAATATATCAATAATAATATTGAAAGCATTTTTTCCATCTATATGGTCACTGGACCATATATTTTTAAATTAATATTGACATTTTGTAAAAATGAGTTAAGAAGAAACATGTAAAATGTCTCTGAATAGGAATACAGAAATTGTGATCTGGGTAGCCATTGTCTACTTAAGTTTTGTATCATGCTCATCACCATGGTATTTGAGCACCTCTCATAATGGTATTTTGTTATATAACTTAATTGTTTCAGTGGGATTTATAAAGCATGTAATCTGATGAAAGAATTTTCAAAAAAGGTATAAATGCACATTGCTAATTATAGATAGCTTCCTGAAAATGGAAAAAAAGGTATATATTTTGGTAGATTACCCATGAAATCATCACAATGTAATATCCATCCAAATTATTAATTTATTTTTTCAGGATAACAGATTATATATTGGCCATGGCTCGACCCTCAACAGAAATTATTGAGAAGTATAACATTATTGAGCAGTTTCAAAGGTAATGAATTTTATTGGTAATGAATTGCTCTAGATCTTACTGATATAATCCCTGATCCATTTTTTCCCTCCTACTTAGATTTAGATTGTTGGTAAAGGTCCTTTAATTTAGCAATATGCAGGTAAGCATCCATTCTGCACTTAGGAGAAATGTATGTTTTAGAAAATAAGGGTTAATGAAATTATTGCTGTATATAATGTGACTATTCTGTTCCTTGCTTAAGGTGTGACATAAAAACAGTAATTAACCTTCAGCGTCCTGGGGAGCATGCTAGCTGTGGGAATCCGCTGGAACAAGAAAGTGGCTTTACCTACCTTCCTGAAGCTTTCATGGAGGATGGAAGTAAGTTCACTCCTGCTGCTTTTCCTCGTTAATTATCGAGTACAGTACATGCAGATTTTCTGTCACACAGCTTTTGGATTAAGAGCAGTTATATAAGGAATACTATACACAAAATATAAAAAATTAAATTTAGCAAAGTCCAACCTTGGATAATACATTGCTCCCTCTCTCGTGTTACTGTTGGGTGAGGTATGAGGTTGGTGTGTTAAATTTCAGTAGAATGAGCAGCTAGAGTAGATAGAAGACTATGCCTGGTAAAAAGATAAATGGGAACTGAGCAAAATAATATAGAGCATATTAACTGTGTTTCAGACATGTTTGTGAGTAATGTTGCACTTTTCAAAATGTCTGTTTCTTTGATTTGAAGAGCTCTGTATCAGCAATATCTTTATTTTTTCATACTGCACTGAGTGTATCTGCTTAAGAAAGTTAAGAGCCATTGAATTAAGATTTGCTTTTATGCCCAAACAGAATGTTACACTTTTCCTATATATAGCTCAGTAATTTTAGTATGAATCACTCAGTTTTGTTATACCTTTTCCATTCCAGCTGAGCTTTAGTCTGAAACATCTTAACTACCTCAGCATGTCCATGAAATTCTCACAGCAAGCTCTTTCTGAAATGTGAAAATAATCTGTTTCAAACAAATATATATAGTCAGGCCTATTTGGATTATTTTTATTTTTTCAGTACTTTCATTTAAGACTAGTCATTTCTCTTCTGCATATGGAACAAAAGATTTAACATTGTGTACTAAAGAAAACAATTCTCTCTCTTTTTAGTTTATTTTTATAATTTTGGATGGAAGGATTATGGCGTGGCATCTCTCACTACTATACTGGATATGGTAAAAGTGATGGCTTTTGCCTTGCAGGAAGGGAGGGTAGCTGTTCATTGTCATGCAGGACTTGGCCGAACAGGTATGTGTTCAACTTCAAAAATTAATGTGAACTTATTTTCTGTAGGTACAAAATAATGGCAGATATACAATTTAAACAAACCTATAATGATTTATATTTATCACTCTGAGGAGGTATACTGTAAAGTGATTAAACTTGCAAACAAAATTTATTTGTAAAAAATAAGAGTCATTCTGTCATAGGCAGCAAGAGGACAAAGTTAACAATTATGAGCTGTGACCCAAAAGGTTAGAGAAACTTTGAATCCACGTAACAATCTCCCAGCAATATTGAAACTGTACAGCCTCCTCACCTAGGCAGCTGCTACTCCACATAGTCTCCAATTAAGAAAATAATTCACCTTGTGCTTTTCTGGTCTTGAATAGAGTTATCTGTGGTTACCCTCCCAACTCAGACCTTCGGTCTTTGGAGCTTTTTTCTTTTGGGTTTGAGGATGTTAAAGGTTGCACTTACTTCTGACCCCTCCCCAAATATGTCTCTTTGCCTGGCCCCATCTCTGCAATAGCCACCATTGCTCCCTGTGGGTGTGAGGAGTTTGAAAATGATGCAACTGTGCTGCAAACACAGTTGAGAGAGAAACTGGCATTTTTTTAAAATGTGGAGGGAGGCTGAGAAAAAACCTTTAAGCACTCAGAGATGGCATTTAACAAAGTTAATACAAGCTAAGGGGAGATTTAATTTCTTATTTAAAATGGGGGGAAAGCCCTAAACCTTAGTCTTCCACTGAGTAGCCACCTCAATTTCAAATTCTCTTACATCCACAGAATGACCGCAATGGCTGACCTATATCAAAATAAGGGAAAATGGCTAGGAAGGAGATCAGTGAAACAGCTGCAGGCCTCAAATCCTTGCAGCCAGAAGAAAAGATCTCATTTTGGAGATCTGAGATACAAACAGCTGTATATGCAAGAAATAATAAAATCGGTAGGCTTAGGAAGAAAAAAAAAATCCACCTGAGGCTGCCGGAGCCTCTCAGGGAACAGGGAGAGCAAAAAGCTAGGTGCTATGGCTCACCAATCTCCTTTGTAATAATGATGCTTCTACATTTTGAATATATTTTAGATTAATCGGGGGGAGGGATAGCTCAGTGGTTTGAGCATTGGCCTGCTAAACCCAGGGTTGTGAGTTCAATCCTTGAGGGGGCCACTTAGGAATCAGGGGCAAAATCAGTACTTGGTCCTGCTAGTGAAAGCAGGGGGCTGGACTCAATGACCTTTCAAGGCCCCTTCCAGTTCTAGGAGATAGAATAGCTCCATTAATTTAATTCAAATTTAATGAATTAGCACCAGTGTGCAGCTATTAGAGGAAACGGGCTTTTCTCAGGTATGCTAATAGCACAAGGTATCCCCCTTATTTATGCATATAGAACTTCCCCTATAAGGACTACCCTTGAAATCAATGGGAGTCTTTACTTTACTGGGGGGTGAATGAGGCCCCATGTTGTCTGACGGGCACATACTCTGTCAAGGCTATTCTTATGTTAATTTCTTAATTCATTTGGGAAGATTTCCACACGTACTTTTGGGTGCATGTACAAAATTGAAGTAACTTATAACAGAGAACATAAAAAGCCAGAAACATGACCTCATCCCAAATCCACACATTAGTGACTCCCTCCTACCACCTAGTGTTACCTACTGATCCTTCTGTCCCACAAAAGCTTGGAACAGAAGACTAGTTTTAGAGTATGATTTGAAGGCTAATATTCTGGTTCTGGTGGGCCAAAAGTGGAAGTGAATTCCAGAGAACCCTTCACTGAAAATGCACTGCCTCTAGCCCCTTTGCAATTAGACCATGTAACAACATGTAACATGCCTCTTCTTATCTCTGCTTCCATGATATCACATGGAAAAACAGGCAGTCTTACGTACTGAGTTCCCAAATGATTTACATGAGTATCCTTTTACTGGTGGATAAACTAACAGTGGGAGTCAAGTTTAATTATTTCCCACTGTACGTACCAGGTACAGGATCAACTTGGGCAGCCAGCAGCAACAGGGGAAACATAAGAGACTGGAAAGTGGTTGAGATTCAGGGAGGAAAACGCAGCAAAAGGAAAAGGAGATGGCACAATAATGGTCAGTGTTGGCCATCTGGGGTATTACCAGTAACCTTGTACTAAAGCAGTTCATCTGTCTTATCGAGACAAGTGCTTATCTAGTTCTTATTGCACTCTGATGCTTGTATTATGATGCAAAAATTGCATATACACTTAGACAATAGCACACTATGAATTGGACATAAAAATTACATCCTTATGTGTGTGTATTAATTTTTACCTTATAATGTATTAACATGTTAACCATTTGTCTTTAAATTCTCTAGGTGTTTTGATAGCTTGTTACTTAGTTTTTGCAACAAGAATGACTGCAGATCAAGCAATTCTTTTTGTTAGGGCAAAAAGGCCTAATTCTATTCAAACCAGAGGTCAGTTAGTGTGTGTAAGAGAATTCACTCAATTTTTGATCCCTCTAAGAAATGTGTTTGCTTGCTGCGAGCCCAAAGCACATGCAGTTACTCTGTCCCAGTATCTGATCCGTCAGAGGCATCTGCTCCACGGCTATGAGAGTAGACATCTCAAGTATGTGCCAAAACTTATTCATCTAGTTTGCAAGCTGCTGTTGGACTTGGCTGAAAACAGGCAAGTGATAGAGGAGGAATTGTTAGATATACCAGATCTCTCTTCTGAAATTGAAGAGGCTGTTTCTCAGTTGGACTCTACACAGCTAGATAAAGAGTTAACAAGACAGAACAGTGACACATCAGAGCCATTCTCCCACTCAGTAGTGGGAAATGTCACTTTTGAGCCCCAGGATTCTGTTTTCTCCCATGAGCACAAATATGATCCTCTTTGGAAGAGGCGGAATGTTGAATGCCTTCAACCTTTGACTCATTCAAAAAGACGTCTAAGCTATAGTGACTCAGATTTAAGGAGAACTGCATTTCTCTTGGAACAAGGAGAAACTCCATGGACAGTGCCTGCACAAGTACCACTCTTTGACAAACTTAAGCAGCAGAACACTAGGGAACATTTTCTCTCTTCAGGCATTCAAACTCCTCAGCTGGATTTAAACAAAGAGGCCTTAGTTCGTAGTACATTTATTTTCTGGAGTCAAGGTAAATTCAGTTTAGATGGACAAAACAATTTCTATACAAAAAAATCGCCAAAAGAAGTGCAGCGTAGTAAAACCTTTTCCTCAGGTTTTGAACGTGTACACAATGACAGGGAAGCAAGAACACCAAAACGTAGTTTTGCAAAGGAAATTGGTCACAGAAAGAAGCGAGAGACTAATGTGTATGGCAGAAGAATTTGTGCATCTGAGGACTCTGATAATTCTGCTTTAGAAGAAGAATCATCTATTGGATATGAAAGTCAAGATAGTAAAGACCTATTGGAAGCAGTTCCATACATTGTTTTGCAATCAGAATTAAGTCTGGAAGCACGAAGAATTTTGGCAGCTAAAGCCCTTGCAAATCTTAATGAATTTATGGGAGAGGAGGAAGTGAAACAGAAGGTAGAAATGTGGCAGGTATTACTTTTTCTAAAATATTATTCAATATTGTGTATTTATTACATGTATATTTAAAGTATAAACAGCAGCAAAAATTCCACTGCTAGTTTGTGAGAGAAGTCTCTGACACCCGTATAAATTATACACATTATACACGTGCTCTGATATTGAAATTGCCAGTCACCTAAATAAAAGGCTCTTGCTTCAATGGAAATATTATATGGTCAGAGGCCTGAGGTTTGACAAAAACAATAAAAAAAAAAAACTAAGCAAAATTTCACTTTACTGTTAGCATCTAACAGAAAGGTAGAAAAATTCTTTCTGTATGTGTTTATTCAGTCGACTTAAAATCAGTTGATAGCTATACTCATAACATTGTTGGTAACATAAAAGTGCCTCAAGATTTTAGGTTAGAGCCAGGTCAGAGCTTTCTCACAGCTAGTCACAGGATTTTGTGTGTAAATGAGTAAGAGAATTTAGTAGAAATTTAACTGTTTAAAATCATCAAAACCATATCCTCCTGAACCCATTTGATTTGAAATAGGAATCAAAAGCTGTTTCATATATTCCACGTATAATTGGAGGGCACTGGACTGTACAATGTGCTATTCATGTTGCCGTTTTGGTCTAAAGAGCCACTTGCATTGCAGCCAATTAATGCTGACAGTTTTGTAAAACAGTACCAGCCCTGATAGAGTTAACAAGGGTCTGAGAGGCCAGTTGGGTTACCTGGCATCACCTGCAAGAGGGAGGACCACGATTAATTAAGAATGAAGCCCAGCTAAGGAAGGGCTGGGATAGCACTGTAAAGCCGGGAGGGATAGCAGAAGGGAGGTGCAGTCACTCCCTGGGATGAGGGAAGTTGTCAGGGACCAGGAGGAGAGTAAGTCCTGAGATTCTGCCCTGGAGTAAGAAGTCTAGCAAGTCGGCTCCCGTGGTAAAACCAGAAACAGGCAAGGGAAGGCAAAAGACTGGGTAAGAGGGAGCCAGCAACTGGGACAGGGACTGATTAGACCTGGATTGCTGGTTTTAAGGTCTCTCTTGGCTGGAATCCGGTGTAATTCATGGGTTCCCCTGCCAGCTGCTGGTATAATGGCTCTTGAGCCCCAAGCTGGGGTTGGACACCATCTTAAGAAGGCATTTGGAAGTGGTCCTGTTGGACTTTGTAATCCTGGAAAGGGGTGGACTAAACAGTGACCTCGCTGGAGGGCCAACTTACCAGAATAAAGACTATTGCAGAGCGAACAGAAGGGGTGACCTAATGCTGTGAGATCTACTTTCCCAGTTCTAGGCAGGAGAAGGTACAATGAGTGGGAACCCCATTACAGGAGGAAATATATTCATGGGGCTGATAAATGTCTCCTTTGTGCACAAGTCTAACAAGTGCTGCTAAAAGCAAAGAAAATCTTAGCAGAAGTAAATAGATGGTGCATTTTTATTTTTGTTAGAAAGAACTGAATTCTCGAGATGGAGCTTGGGATAGAATTTGTGCCGAGAGAGATCCTTTTGTCCTTTGCAGCTTGATGTGGTCCTGGATAGAGCAACTAAAAGAACCTGTTATAACCAAAGAGGATATTGACATGTTGTCAAAAAAATGCACAGAATCACCAGAAACTCTTAACTTACTAGCAAAGGTAAACACTATATATGTCAATTCATTCTTTTACTGAAAAGTACAGTTTATTAACTCAAGCTTTGAATCAGTGGCCCTTAAACAAGGAATTTACATTTTTAAAGGTAACTTGCAATAAAACAAATTTCAAGCTCCATAAAAATCAAATGAAAATGTATCTTGATAGTTCACAGTAAGTTTTAATCAATGCTTAGATGCTCTGGTGATGGGTGCTTTAGGAAAATCCAAGATAGATAAAATCTTAGAGCTCTAGTCAATAGAAACTTGATTTCCATGTGTGCTGGCTGGAGGTACCACAGCCTGGTGCAACTTGAAATTCAGAGAGACAGAAGGCAAGAAACTCTTTCCCTTTAGCTTTCCCTAACACCAGGTCTGGCAACAGTGCTTAATATTGACCACATTATAGTCCTATGCATCTTCAAAGTGCTGTGCAAACATCTAATCCTGTAGCATTGAGAGGGTTGGTGCAGAGGATGTGAGGAACTGACAAATCCAAGTAGTAAATGCTTCAGTAGCCTGGCCAAGTTCCATTATATAAATCAAAGTTCTGGACTTCCATATTCTCAAATCATGATGGGGAATAAGTCATTCTGCTCTGAAACATTTGCATTATGTTTTCTGTAAAGGGATAAATAAATCCTTTTAGCTATTCTACCTTTTCAGAACATTTCCTTATGAAGAGAGTTTGTGTTCTAGAATTCTCAGTCACATGACAAATCTTCCAGTACTTTGGGTGTTCTTTTTGTTTCTGGATTATTTGTGTAGAAAGTAGGGCACAGTCTAATACCCCCCTCTGCTCACAGTTACACATTTCCTCCAGCAGCAGGTGGCGACTGCCTTCTCTGCAGTCCACTTCCATGACATTCAGCTTCTCTCAGTTCAGGGTTTTGAAATGTCATGCTTCTTCCTGAACTCAGTTCATCAGGGTTTTATTATTTTGGCTGAATAAAAGATAAAGTAACCGCTTAATACCTGAAGTTAAACTAACCATCAAAATTAATTATTTTATCTTACCCATTTGTTGTTTATCTTCCTACATTAGTTGTTGTAATGTATGTTTGCCCTTAAAAGTTGCCTGCCCAAGTGGAGATTATCTCCCCCAAGATCTGGTGGCGAGCCTAATGTGGAAGAGGAGATCAGCTGCCTTCAGAACACCGTTTCCCTCATCCACCCAGACACTTTTTTTGGTACCCCTCAGAGACCCTTCTGTGGGGTTGTGATCCACACTGGAAAGGGAGCTGGGCAGGCCAGGGGTGGGAATAGGATGTTAATTGAGGAGAAAGGCTTAGGAGTATATACTTCCCTGGGCCCTATAGTCTTTCCTAGGAAAAGATAATACAATCTGGAGCTGTATAATTTTTTGTGCCCTTTCACAATAGGGATTCCCCAAGTTAGGGGGTGAAGTCTAAGTGGACAGCCATGGGTAGGAGAGTCCATAGTACCATGCATCTATTCGAACGGTACTGTCAAAGAGTGGGGCTTGGGAAACCTTGGGGGGGGGAGGAAAGCCTGTGCATGGATAGACCTGATCTCCTAGAAGTTTCAGAGGATCCATGGGGTTTGTGTCACGGGGCTACCCACATTCTGCAGGAGAACTGTTGTAATAGTTGCGTCTACAAGTTTTACCCCAATTGTGGGCTCAGTTGTAAGAAGTGAGTGAAAGTTCATAAAATGTCCCAATAACCTATAACAATAAACCTTGATGGAGAAAAGGTACAAAAGGGAGACAGACTGAATTAGTCCAAACAAAAAGGCCTACCGAAACAACTCAAGAATTGTGTTAAGATCATGTCTCATAAACAAGAGAAGCATGGGACCAGATATCAGTGAACCAAAATTGTTGGAAATTAGGCCTAATTGGTGGGCAAAAAAATAGTAGGATGGATTATTCTACTCATCACTCCCTTTTGGAGTCCTTAAAAGATTTTGAAGGAAAGTTGGGATGGACATAAACGCTGGATGACTGAAAGAGAAAGGAAGGGGAAGAGTGAGTTTCATCATGGTGATGGCTGCCATTCCTACCCTCTCCTGAAATATCAGAATCCAGCGTGACACCATTGTGCCTCCTTCATCCTAATCCTGAGAGATGTTCTGATCATACTGGCCCAGAGAAAGGGAGCCAGATGACATTGCCACCTTCAGTAACTCTGGCTAAAGACTGTCAACCTCTCTCACTCCCGTTGTGTGTCCTTTTCCTTTCCCTCCTTATTTCGTCTCTTTCCTATCTCTCTCCTTTTTCTTTCTGTTTAATAAGAGCTGGGTTAGCTGATCAAGACTATATTTCATAACACTCCTGTAAGCCTGTGGCCAGAAAGAGGCAGCTAAAAGCAATTTCCTGAACATCCCAATGCTAGTACAAGTTTACCAGGTCTCAGAGAGGCCATGTGCTGTGGCCTTTATTTTTTCCAGCAGTGAGATTACAAGCAAAAGTTGACACCAGACTCTGGTGACCAGAGACAGAAGCTGCATTTTCTATCTTTGCTATTCTTCTCTCTTCCCTCTTGTGTGTGTTTGTCTTGTTTTGTTTTTTAGAAAATGGGATCAGACTTTAACAGCAACAACAACAGTTCCAGCCCCTCTGAATTAACTTCTTTTTTTCCCCAAAAGGACAGTTAGCATTTCTATCATCATCTTAAAGACTTTCAACATGGGTTTTTCTTTCCAAAGATTCTCTACAGTTAAAGGGAACAAGAGAGGTCATTAAATGAAAGCTTTAATACTTTACATTTCAAATGCTGTAACAGTTTCTCCCCCCCGCACTTTTTTTGGTGTGTATATCTTTAATGGTGGATTTGCCATGGTACTAAGCAGGCTTAGGTCTCTGTATACCAAACCCTGAACTTTGCTTGAAACTGTTTAATATTGGATTGTTTCAGGGTATGTTGACACCTTTGGCCCAGATATTTCATCAAAATTAACACAACAGAACCTCTCTTCCCATTATTGAACAATTATGTAAGAACTCTGGAGGAGAATCCTTGTGGAATTTATTCCCCTGGATTTTATTGCAAGTGCGGGTAATGTGGTCTACAGTTCTCGGAGTACTTTTAACAATTATTTAAATGTTTTCCTTGAAAATGTTTCCTTTTTAATAACTTTATATTTCTTTTACTCACTAGGAACAATATCAGACTATTCTTTGTATTTTCCATTGTGTAGTGAATTTGCAGACAATACCAGCTGATGTGGAGGAAGCCTTACTCACCCGGGCCATTAAAGCTTTCACTAAGGCAAGTAGCAACTCGCCCATGAAATTGTGATTGTGTTGTAGATTATGGAGGATGAAGTAATAGTCTTAGCCAAAAATTTTAGTAATTCATTAATAGTTATTATACTGAAACTTATCTGCTTCAAAGTATAAAAGTTTTGTCATAGCAAATCCTCTCCAAAGCACAGAAAAATACTCCACACAGGTCAACTGTGGGTGTTGAGTATTGAATGGGGTAAAAATAGTGCCTTCGAACAGTATTTCTTTATTCTCTGGCTTCATTTTTATGTCTTGCTAGGCCACTTCCACTGGGTAGAAGTTGAAGTTAGACTATTTCAAACTGGAAATAAAGCACACACTTTTAACTGTGAAGATAATTAGCCTTCTTTTGTTTGAGTCTCCCCCAGTACCAAGGTGGAGGTTTACATGGCTAAGACTATCTCCGGGCTTTAAAATCTGCCCTGCTTTTGAGGCAGCTATAGCTGTGAAGGATGGATGTGTTAAATATATTTTTTGTTTAGGAGAGTAACAAATTACAGACAAATGTTCAATTTACAAATCCTTTTCTGAGCATGCAGAGAGCTTATGCCATGTTTGTTTAAAAATGTTTGATGCAAAAGTCAAATCAATGAAGAGCTTTTTGGACTCTGAAGGCTCTTCTTGAAAGCAATCTGCTGCTTTAAAATCAGTTTATGTTAGTGTTTCTGTTATCAGAAACACTATTTTGGGACCTAACAGGACTTCTGGCTCTAAGAGATCTTGTGCTTCTCAGAAATATGCTGAGCCGTCTCTTCAGTTCTTTCTGTGTCATTCAGCAACTGCTGTTGCCCTTGGTAGGAGAAAGCAGAGATCTTCCGATGGTGTTCAACTCCTCAGTATTGGCCAAGAAGAGATCTAAGATTCATCACACTGATATCTTCAAACTACCTCCTTCCAAAACTAATTGGTGCCACGAGTCTTCAAGGGCTGCGGAATATTACTCTGCTGCTTCGGTACCATGTTGTCTATCTCTGGCAACCAATACCTCTTTCTTAGTACTAACATGATTGGTACCATCTGCCACAGATTTTTTAAGTATTGCATATTAATAAGAAGATCCCATATATTGAGACTTCCATACTGATACTGCTGAGATTGGTTCTTCCCACCTTGGTACCCATTCCTCTCTTAATGCAGGCGGCTTTCACAAATTCTCCAACAATAGTGATCACTGCAGAACCACAATCTCCTCACTTAGATATTTCTCCAGTATCTACAGAATCTACATCCCTTACGCTACTGGAACCAAAGATACTGATTATGAAAACCTCCCTGTGATCATCATCTGTGGTACCAATATCTATTTCTCAGAGATTGGCATCTGGATCTCTGCAGCCTGTTAAAACTCCTCAGAGATCCATACCACTCTTGGAGGAGTTCTACTTCTCTGCCTCTTTGTCTCAAGACAGTAGAAGCCCTTCTTCTACATTCTCGTCTCTTTTTCCTAGGCTGGCTCCTGAATGAGACTCAAGAAGGAGTCCTTCTCATTATAGATCCCATACTTCTGGTATTTCATCCCATATTGTGGCATTGTATGCCTTTCTCATATGAGATGCAGTCTTGGCCATAGTAGTCAGGGTGGAAGCATCACCATTTTCCTGCTCTTTATTCATCCAGATCTAGGTCTAGAATTAGATCACCATCTCCTGAGGAACCATCTAAGATAGCCCAAATATGTAACCAGGAGCTTGTCTAGCAATTTGAACAAAAACCTCATACTGAGGAGTAAGATCTTATGGAGGAACATGGGTATCAACTGATTCCTTTGGCTATTCATCTTCCTCATCAGATGAAGCTGTACCATGATCTGCTCTTTCCACAGTCAATTTCAAGGTCTTTCACAACCGTCTTAAAGGATAGCAGAGATCTTAGATACTCCTCGAAGTTGTCCAGGAAAGGTCTCACAAGTTATCCAGCAATTTGCATCTGGTTTCCCAGGGTTGATTGGTATGGGAAAATGATGAGGCTATCCTTGAGTCAGTTAAAGGAAGAAAAAATCAGTTTCACACATACAGAATGGGAAGAGACTGTCTAGGAAGGAGTACGGCAGAAAGGGATCTAGGGGTTATAGTGGACCACAAGCTAAATATAAGTCAACAGTGTGATGCTGTTGCAAAAAAAGCAAACATGATTCTGGGATGTATTAACAGGTGTGTTGTGAGCAAGACACGAGAAGTCATTCTTCCGCTCTACTCTGCTCTGGTTAGGCCTCAGCTGGAGTATTGTGTCCAGTTCTGGGCACCGCATTTCAAAAAAGATGTGGAGAAATTGGAAAGGGTCCAGAGAAGAGCAACAAGAATGATTAAAGGTCTTGAGAACATGACCTATGAAGCAAGGCTGAAAGAATTGGGTTTGTTTAGTTTGGAAAAGAGAAGACTGAGAGGGGACATGATAGCAGTTTTCAGGTATTTAAAAGGGTGTCATAAGGAGGAGGGAGAAAACTTGTTCACCTTAGCCTCTAAGGATAGAACAAGAAGCAATGGGTTTAAACTGCAGCAAGGGAGGTCTAGGTTGGACATTAGGAAAAAGTTCCTAACTGTCAGGGTGGTTAAACACTGGAATAGATTGCCTAGGGAGGTTGTAAAATCTCCATCTCTGGAGATATTTAAGAGTAGGTTAGATAAGTGTCTATCAGGGATGGTCTAGACAGTATTTGGTCCTGCCATACGGGCAGAGGACTGGACTCGATGACCTCTCGAGGTGCCTTCCAGTCCTAGAATCTATGAATCTATGAAAGATATGTGGCAGGCTCCTGCATCTATTTCAGCCACATCTAAAAGAGCAGATCTCAAATATCAAGTTGCCCCCAGGGGTTTGAATATTTCTTGACCCCTGGCCCCTGGTCTTTAGTAGTAGTAGTAGTGCTCATGAAAACTCCAAGCAGCCTGGTCCTCCTAAATCTACATCTAGGTAGATGAGCATAAGCTCTTACAGTTGAACAAAAAACTTCTTCAGGACATCAGGGACAAGTCAAAAGCAGTAGCTTTGGAAGGACGGCAGCTGACAAAAACTGCATGCCAAGTGTTTTTGGAGGCTTCTGACACTGCAGCTAGGACAATGGCTACTGCAATAACTATATGCAGAACATCCTGGCTGCAATAGTAAGGAATTCCAAAAGAGGTTCACATCATAGGAACATAAGAACAGCCATACTGGGTAAGACCAATGGTCCATCTAGCTCAGTGCTAGATGCTTCAGAGGGAATGAACAGAAGAGGGCAGTTTCGAGTGATTGGTCCCATGTTGTCCAATCCCAGCTTCTGGCAGTTGGAAGTTTAGGGACACTCGGAGCATTGGATTGTGGGTGACTGAGGACCTTCCTTTTGAGGGCCACGATCTTTTCATCTTGAAGACTGATTAGGTGCTTCATGCATTGAAGAACTTGAGAGCAACCTTTTGATCTTTTGGCCTCTGTGTTGCATACCAGAGGAAAAAGCAAACAAAACCTCTGACCTTCTCAAAACAGAGATTTCCATCTTCTTATTCATACCAACAAAGAACTTCTGAATTGTACAAGGAAAAAAAACTCTTTTAAGAAGAGAAAAGCCCTCTATCTTCTATTAATGTGCATTCATCATAGGGCCAAAGGCTGCAGGTTTGATGCCAGGGTCAAGAGTTGTGAGCTAGTTTGTTGAGAATCTATGCCCTTTCTCCCCTCTCTTTGGCAATTGCCTTGTTTGCAGATGCATGGGCTTCAATTAGTACCAACCAGTGGGTCTTAGAAGTTATCCAGCAAGCGTATTCAATTCAGCCCCAGTTTATGCCAATTCTGCACTCTCTTCCCTGTCTCTTTTCAGGGACACTTAACACAGTGGTCTGGTGCAGGAGGAGATAGATACTCTTCAGGGTGTGATTGAGATGGTGCCTTTAGGGTTGTGTGGCAAGGGCTTCTCTTCCCACTACTTCCTCATTCCAACAAAGAAAGGAGGGTGGTATTCTATATTAGATCTCAGAGGGCCCAACAAACTCATGGGGAGCTTCAAATCTCAGATGACCACCTTTTTCTTCAGTAATTCCTTCTCTAGATCCCATGAACTGGTTTGCAACTCCTGACTTGCAGGATGCTTACTCCCATATGGCAAAACATCCAGCTCACAGGAAGCTTCTTCATTTCATGGTCAGTGGACATTATTGCCAGATCAGAGTCCTCCCTTTCAGTCTCTCAACACCTCTGAGTGTGTTTGCCAAATGCTTTTCAGTGGGAGCAGCTATGCAGAGGAGACAAGGCATTCACATGTATCCCTATCTCATTGACTTTTTATGGCTTTTGGTAGCAAATCTAAAGGTCATGCTGTATCCTCTGAGGCTCTTGAAGTGGGTTTCGGACTATATGAAGATATCCTATGCATTGAATAAACTACCCCTTCCCTCTAGAGTTAGGGCATACTTTATTAGAGCTCAGTCTACATCTGTAACTTGTTTCAGGGGAATCCCTGTTTCTGAGATTTGTAGGGCAGCTGCTTGGAGTTCTGTTCATACATTTACCAATCAACGTTTCATTGTGGTAGCCTCTAGATCAGATACCCAATTTGGCAAGGCTATCCTACAGTTATTTTAAATAGGACTCCTATCACTCACCTCCTTGAGAGGTAGCTGTTAGCCAATCACCTACAGTGGGAACTATGTGGACAAATGCTTGAAGAAAGAGGTTACTTAACTGACAGCAACTGGAGTTTAAAGTGCTTCCACCCCCGCCCATGGATCCCACAACCCACCCACTTCCCCCCAGATACAGAGTCCTTTACCAGATAGTCTATACTAGTGAAGGAACTGAGTGGTGGTTGGGGCCGCTTTGCTCTTTATACTCTGAGAGGCACAACTGAAACTGTTGGCTAGAAGATTCTTGGCTTGTATGCATGGGCATGCAAACCTACACTGGGATCTGTGCATACAAAAGCATAGTAAATTTCAGTTACTGTAATGTAAGTCACCTCTCATTGTGTTTTGGCAGGCCTCAAGCAAAAACCAGGTAGAATATTCATTTTCTGCTCATGCTTTTTCCTTGTGCATATTTCAGCCTCCCTTAGGGGAAGTTAAGCTTCACTAATAAGGCTGGCATCACTGTTTGATTCCGTTTGGATTCCCCTCCCCCACCCCCACCCCGATAAGTCTTCCCTCCTCAGTAATTAAGATTAACATTGTCCTCAACTTTATCTAAACTAACTAAGATGCTTTTTTCCGGCCCATGACCTAGTGATTATGGAAGAGTTGTGTATGTTGTTCCTGTCATCAATTAGGGTGGTGCCTGCAAATTATCTAAGTATCTCTGAAGGAATATTTGGTAATATTGTAGTTTTACAAATGAAGGTTATTTGCACTAACTATAGCCCCAGTATTTCAGAGCCTCAGTGTGTATAATGTATAGAATAGAAACCTGTTCTAGTCAGATCAAAATATGGTTTAGGTGAAATAAGATTAGAAAAGGAGTAACAATGTACACTTGTTAAGCCCACACACCATGAACAGTAAAGCTAGTAGTGTGCACAGAACTCTGCATTTAGTGGGTCAGATCCTCAGCTGGGGTAACTTGATGTAGCTCCATTGTCAAATACTGGTTATTTTTTGTAGGGCCCATCCTTCCATGCAAGTTATCATGGAGGGCAGAGGAAACATGTGCAACATGTGAAATCTATAACTATTATTGTTTTGTCCCCCTGGCCAGGAACTAAGGCTTCCAAACCATTACCTGTAGCTCATCCAAGAACTGTTCACATGGATTTATCTTGTCTCCAATCTGCCTCCCAGATTCACCATTTTCAACTAGACCCTGGATAGTATGGTTTCATAACCCATGCTCTCAAGCACTCCATGTGCTGCAACAGCCTTCTGAACTCCCCTCACATGAAGGAGAAAGTAGTGCCAATTAATAGAACTCAAATTGTATTCGTTTGTGCAATGTTCTCTTGCAGGTTTGGGTGGAGTGAAAGAATCCAGAGCCTAACAATTTCTCCCAATCTTCCATGTCCATGGAACTAGAATTCTGCTGGGTAGGGACACAAAGGGGAACATGTAGCAGAAGTGAAGTCCCCTCCCCCATTCCATGGATGCATGGTCTCCATCCACATACACAGGTGGTGGGGAGCATGGGATATATACATATAAACAAGTGATTATAAAAGCAGACATAAAGGTTTGTGAGGGTTAAATATAGTCATACGGTGGGTTCCGGTGATGGTGAACTCAGAGCATCTTTCCTCTGATAAAGTATTTGAAATAATTTGAAAAGAAGGATCATATATAACGCACAGCCACGCTTCAGCTAGTAGCCATTCAGACTGTAGACATGAGCATGACATCTCTCCTCCTAACTCTTTTATTTCTAACTGCCATTTTGTTTTAACCTGTCAGTAGATAGAACTGAAGTACTCTGTGATAGTTGTTCAGACCTGTAGTGATTTATGAAAAATACCTATTTCCTGGTTTAAAATAAGTATATGAAAATGCATCTGGTACTTTGTATTTTAAAATATGTATTATTTAGTGTTTTCTGTCTGTATTGTGCCATGTCATACAGTACTGTAAAACATTAAAATTAATTTCTCCCTCTTCCCAGATAAGTTTGGATTCTGAAAATGGACCACAGGTTTACAACACTCTGGGAAAACTATTTAAACAAATACTGGAAGCAAAAAGAAAGGAGGCCAAAAAAGAAACAGATAACCCCTCTTGATGTTTACACAGTTATGCTGGGGATTTCAGTGGTCCTGTCAAATTATCTTTCGTTTACCAGCTACAGTATTTTGTGCTAATTGGCATGTACTGACCAAATTTTAGTTTTAGTTAAAGAACTTTTTTAAAAAAAGGGAGCTGTAGTGAGCCTTATTCCATTTACAGATTTAAAAGTTGATATTTTAATGAGCTGCTACTGTGTGATTGTACTGTAGCATTTGGTTTGAAGCAATATGCTTTTATATTGTGAACGCTGTTTTAAAACTATATTTATTGATTTAGAAGTCTCATCAATAAGCTATATTTTTTTATGTTAAACAGTTGCCACAATGTCAATGCCATGTTATATAATGATTTAATGTATTAATATTTATGTATCAATGTTTACATTAATGATATTTCATTTTACTTTACAGTGAATAAATACTGACAACATTCTGATGTATTTATTGGGTTCTTTGGAAATCTTAAAATAAGATTAGTTGTAATAGTAAAGAAATTTGTAGGAAAAAAATCCTTTATAAATAGGCTGTAGTAAATCACCACGTCTTAATGTTGTTTTCTTATGTGTCTTTAAAAAAAAAAACCCTAACAAGCATTTAACTTTTCAGTGTATGTTGCTTATTTACCAACTTTTATATATTTTTAGGTATTTTAATATAAAAGGTTTCTGAAATTTTATTTTTAATGGAAAGTTGAATGTATGTTAAGGTGCTTGAAAGGAAAGAGTAATCTTTTCCAACTGGCTAAAGAAACCTACAGATGTTTACCTCCTTTGAAAAGTTTTTTAAATTTGAAACCTTATCCAAAGGCCTCATTCTTTACTCACGCTGAGTCATAACTTACATGAGTAACCTATAAAAATTAAATCAATGAAAACCTTAAATGTAAAAAGTGTATTGCAGATGCTAAAGTATTGTGTTGCTTTTTTGTATCTTTGAATGAGATGTCATTTTCTATTTCTTTTATTAAAGACATCTGTGTATATTCCAAAAAACAATTTCTGTTTCTGGATTAGGATTCAGGTTGGTTCCCCAATTTGCAGGGTTACAGCTCATATGGTAAGATAAGCTTAAAAAAATCCTTTCCTGTTCTAAAATATTTAGCTATACAACACCATCAGTGACGGCATATATTCAGTTAAAAATAGGACTGTTTGCTATGTTAATAATTTATAAATGCTAACTGCAAGATAACTCCATAAACCAAATTCAGAGCCAAGCAAATCAGTTCCTGTCTTTATAGAATGATCTTAAAATGTGTACATGTGAAAGTAAAATACTGTATATGAATCACACCCAAAAAACTTTGTAAACTAAAACTCTAGAAAATCACCAGTTAAGGCAAGACTAACATCCAGAATACCCTCAATTCACATGCCTTTATCATCGATATACAATACCCAAGTGCATTCACAGGTTTCACAGCTCCACAAGAAATTATTTTCAACTTCCAGCGTTCAAAAACTTATAAAGTACAGATCCAATTCCTCAGTATCACATGCCTAGTCTTCATTCCAAACTCAGAATGGTTTAGGTTGTAGTAACAAATTAGTTATTTTAAACTTAAATGTCTATTAAGTTTAAGTTTAAATAAGTCTATTCAACTTATGTTCATTAGTATCAGAGGGGTAGCTGTGTTAGTCTGTATCCACAAAAATAACGAGGAGTCCGGTGGCACCTTAAAGGTGCCACAAGACTCCTCGTTGTTTTTATGTTCATTAGCTATATTAACCTTTCTGAGATTGATGTTAAGGTTAGGCACGTGTTTGAGGAACCAGATGTGTGCACTGTGATTGGCTGTACGGTGGCTGCAGGCTTGCTGGCCACACCTAGAGGATGGTTGGAGGAGTGTGGCTAATTACCACTGTGCCCCCTACTGAAGGCCCCAGGAGTGAATTGTGGGGGCACTGGGTGGAGGAAGTGTAAGTATGGTTATTGTCTGAATGCCCACAGCAGAAATGGAAGAGATGAGATGAAGGACAAATTTGGGGGGAGTAGGGCTCTATTTGGGGACATGGGGAGGGAATCATACAGGAGCAGGAATCGGGTGGAACAAGAGGGAGGACAGGTGCTGGGAAGCAGCGCTCAGTCAGTTGGCACAGGAGGAGAAGAGGAGGGGGCTTTAGCAATGTGGCATAATGGGGTAGCTGATGAGGGAGCATTAGGGCCCTGTACCATGAGCACAGTAAGAGTGACACTGTGTCAGGTAGGATGCGCAGCGAGCAGGGCTCTGGTAGGTGAGCCTTTGGGTTGAGGGGAGCATAGTTCTGGAGAGAGAGGGCATACTGTGCACCAGCACAAGCCCATGCAAATCTCAGGCTGAGCAAAGACCTGTATGAGTACAAGCGGGTTACATTTCTAAATGTTTACCTGTATGAAAATGTGTGCTTGCCCTGAACTTTATGTGGACTCTGCTGTTGGGGAGAAGGGAGGCAGGCAGAATGTAGGGGTGGGAACATGATACAGTAGGAATAATGGGGAAAAGGGCAGCTGATGTACAGTGGCAGAGATTGAGGTGGGGGGGTGTAGGCTGTAGAAGAGTTGAGGTTATCTGGTGGTGCATTGGGGATTATGAAGTAGCAGAATTGGGCGGGGGGGAAGGTTTGGGACAGTGGTGGGATTTAAGGAGACCAAGGGGTCATGAGCTAATAGGAGTACAGCTAGTTCACTGACCAAAGCTCTGCTTCTGAGCTAGGCAGCCAGCCAGCCCTACAACAAAGCTGCTAAGAGGCTTCTGGAGGGGTTGTCAGCTAATTAGTCCACGGAGCAGCTCAAGGCTTGCGTTGCATCTCCTGTTCTAGTATTGGGCCATCCTCAATCCAATCCCTTTCCCTGTTGGCTTCAAGGAGGCAGCAGAATCATGCAGCATTTTCTAAAAGGTTAATTTACTGACCATTTTACAGCCCATTTTGCGGAACCCAATTTCAATACCTACCTTGAGGCGAAGCTTTGTGGTGATAGGAGATTTTGTTGGTCAGATGGACGGAAACAAACATGAGATAATTAGCAAAATATATTAAATTGAGCCAATTTTTAGGTCCTTAATTTTCAGAACTGATCATAGTTGCCAGTAAGACAACAGTGAAAATGTAGAAAGTATAACCCTCATGCTAGCAATGGGGCAGCAATGAGGGCCAGGTTCAAATAGCTAGGAGTCCTTCATAAAATGAACAAACACCACCGTCTTGAGCCCGCCCCTTACCCACAATTTTTAGAATCACTAACTGCCTTCCCTCTGTGCTCTTAACAGGCAGTACTTTCCCATTTACAAGCACTGAGTCTAAGATGAAACAAGGAAAATGTTATTAGTGGGAAAGGGAACACAGCGTCAACTTGGGAAAACACAGCAACACTACATGTAACTAAATGACAAATCAAGCACTTCCCAATGGGAACTTTGGCAGTAGTCCATTAACTCTGCCTATTGGACACTCACACTGGGTAAGCAAAGACGACCAACTAACCTTTACCCCATCTGTTAAATGTTACCTCCCCTTCCCCCATCTGCTAAATGCCATGATGGTTTGGTGTCAGTGGATATCATAGTTGCAGAGTCCTGAGGTGCATCTGAGCGGACTTGTCTCCAGTCTCTTGGGAAGTGCTGCCTGGTCCTGAGGCTCTCCCACCTAACCCACATAGACTGATTTCAGTTTTAGTTAGTGGTGGGTTGAAGGGACCTCACTGGAGTTCAAAAAGCCTTCTCTAACTTGTACTCGGTTAAGGAGCCACCTTTGCATTATCTCCAGTTGCAAAGCTCTCTGTAACAGCTCTTGTAGTGAAGTCCTCAGTCTACATCATGTTTTACCTGAAAAATCCCTCTCCAAAACCAGAGGTTTTCTTTCTCTAGAAAGAAAAAGCAGGAGCACATAGGATCTCTGAACAGAAGCCTTACTCATGGCTAAACTCTTTGTTCCCCCAACTTATAACAATATTTTTTTAAAAGATTTCTATTTTCCCTTTGAAATCAGTTCCATTACCCTAACAATTCTGACTTTGTTTGCAGTGATGGTCACTCTCAAAATGTTACAAGAGGAATTCTGGGTAGAAACCATATGCAAATGAAGGTCTTGCTCTGTAGCTATCCTTCCTCCTGTTCACTAGCAGATGGGCGCAGAGACTGACTTACTCCAGCATCAGGCCACAAGGCTTACAAAGCACGTGGGGGGGAGGGGCTTATTTACAAGGTAGTTTGAAATATGAGGTATAATCTGACGCTCCATGGCTGCAACACTCCATAATGCAGTGGAAGTGATTGTTAAGTGGGAGAGGGTTAGGCTTGCAAAGTTGTGATTTTAAAACTAGCTACTGGGAAATCTCCTGGCCCCAGTCAGCCAATGACATCTTTCTAGTTTTCACCTGTGTGATAAAGGAGATGCCTGGCTCTTTAAACCTTATAGCAGTGTGGGCCCCTTTGGGGTCTCCCTCCCCAGGGGACACATGCAGGAAAGCAGGCACGTGATACCCTGCTTCACTTTGAGGTGCCCACAGCTCAGAGTGCCCCAGAATGCACGGCAGGGCCTGGAGCCAGCGAGGGAAGTTGCCTAAGCCCTACCAGTGTGGAACTTCCCAGCAGCCTGGGAAGCATGGTGGTGAAGGACCACCCCGAGTCCTGGGTTGAGGCTGGGGAAATTTGAAGACCCTGAGAGGGGGTTGGGCTGGGCAGCACCCTCCCCTCTCCTGGCTGCCAGGGGTGTGTGGGTGTGTGAGAGAGACAGAGTTGGGTCTCCAGGAGTGAGTCTGGGCATGCATGGTGCAGTTGAATTTGTTTTGGTTGCCTGGAATGAGCTTTTGGAGGGTGGTGGGGGGGGAGCATTGACTGGGTTATGGTGTCTCGAGTGCATTGTGGGAGGAAGAAGTAGAATTGCTTTCAGTCACCAGGGTTCCTGGGAGCTGATTGGACTTTTGATTGCTGTGTATTGGGGGCAAGGGGTGTTGCGGGAGATGAATGGGTTTGGGTTGCTGGGATGCATTGACAAGAGACGGTGAATTGTTTGTGTCACTGAGGTGCATGCGGGGGCGCTGAATTGCTCTTGGTCACAAGGGGTGCAGAGGGGAGGGTGGTTGAATTGCTTTTGGTTGCTGGGATGCACTGACATGATTTGGTCACTGAGGTGCACTGTGGGAGGAACTGAGATGATTTTGGTCGGGGGGAGATTGTGGAGGGGCAGAGCTGAGGTGATTTTGGTCACTGGGGTGCAACAGTGTGGGAGAGCTGAGGTGATTTTGGTCACTGGGGAGGGAGGTTGAATTGGTTTGGGTGCCTGGTGGGGGAGCGTCCAGGAGGCTTTTCACAGTCTCCCTTTTCTCATGCTAGTGTGCTGGGAGAT